GCAAGAAAGAAAAAAGAGGTAAGAAAGACTAAGCATTCAAGATAAAGAAAGAATAAATTTTTATCAAAATCCACCTGGCAGCCGTTGGACCAGAAATATTGTTGAATTATTAAAGAAGCCATAATCTCTTATCTTTAAATCTTTTTTCAATTGTTTTGAAGCATACTGCAAGCGTATAAATTCGATTGGAATTCCAGTTCTAACTTGCAGTTGTTTCATTAACTCCTCTACTGTTGACTCGAGTTGAATATTAAAAAGCTCGGATTTGCCACCCTCAAGAACGACGAATAGTTGTAATGAATCTTTAGGCAGCTCTCTTGATATAAACTTTCGAGTATTGCGCTTGGCTTGTTCTAATTTGTTTTGGTTTTTACCACCAGTTGCTGTTTCCATTTGTCCCCAGTCAAAGTGGACCTGGCATTTTCTACAATACATGTCTGGACAACCTTGACCTTTCTCAACCGGTAATATACATTTTGGGCAAATTCGTGTGTTTTCATCTAACCATTGTTGATCGATATCTATATTCGCTTCATTTTTTTGACGGTGTTGTTCTCTTTCAAGCTCACACTTTTGTTGAAACTTTTGTCTCTGTATATTTTGAAATTCTTGCTTATACTTTGTGTATCTGCCAGCAAACTCTTCATAATGTACTTGGTGACACTTTTCTTGCGTACATCTGCCAATTATGTAATAGATACATGTATCATTCGGGAAACCAGTAAACAGACATATCTCGCCTTTTGTGCAAAGATTTGTCTTTTTACCTTGACTTAAACCTGTGAAAATATAAAAGTTATGCAACGCTAACCATCGAAAAGGAGCAAAAGGGAAGCTCACATGGATGTGATCCATTCTGTACGAAAGCGAATTTTCCTTTTATGTAAGCATCTTGCTCTTTGAAGTATTCTTCTTTTTGTTTTTGTTCACTAGCATCATCAGAAGTGGAAGCAGTCATTGGCTCATTCAAAAACCCGTTAGTCATAGAAGAAAGATTCTGAAGGTCCTGAAGGGGGAGGTAGCGGAATTCTCACAAATAGAATTTAAGAATTCTGCTTTTAACGAATCGTCCATTACATATATGTATACATACTATCTATCTTTACATAATGCACGCAATTTTGTTTCGCTCTATCATTGTGAGTAGCAGAATTCTTAGACTTTTGTTTTTACAGTAGAATTTTGAGAGAATTCTGTTTAACAAGCAGAATTTTGTTTCTTTCTAGCATTTAGATACGCATATAGCTTTCCATGAATCATCAAATTATATATTGGGAATATAATGTTGATCAGGCTTTCAATGTAAAATAGCTATCAATACTAATTATTTTATATTTACAATGATTATACATAATGTTAGGTTATTATTCATTATATATAGATTTTATTACAGTTTATATTTAGGTAAATAGTAATTTCGATTAAAAACATTTGGGGTAGTCTCTTTTAGTCCCTGTGTTTTTTTACGAACATCTGTCAATGAAGTCCGAAACGGAGTTCGGTTAGTTCGGATGTTCGGAATGAAAAGGCCTGAAGATCGGAATGAGAAATACAGGATGTTCGGGATGAAAGTCGTTCAGATGCTCGTCGGGGGGGAAATTCAGGATGTTTGGAACTTAAAATGATAGATTTTCGGAACATAATTGACAGATGTCAGATATATAAAACGACGGCTGTTCGGAAGAAAAGCGAATTGGCTTTTTATAACATAGTTTATATTCTTTTATTTCCTAGTAGTCTTTTAAAAAAACATAGGACAACAGAAATTTACACAAGTGAGAGAATAAGTAGCTATTACAAGAGAAAAACATTTAATGTCTAATGCTTTTTTGCAGCATGCCTATTTTTTTCATGTATAACTTCAAAAACTGATTTTAAA